TGAACTTTTCATGATGAACTTTTCAAGTTCCTTGAAAAGCCAAGTTTCAATAAGTGGTCTCTGACTGTAACTAGAGAGACTACAGAAGAAAAACAAGAGTTACAAATCAACTCTAGGAAGCAAAACATACTAATACCTTTCTAAATCCTATTAAACTTGACAGAAAGAAGAAAAAAGACATTTAATTTTTAGGTAAATATTAATCTAATCATACAAAATATGAATCTAATATTCTACCATCTAATTCTCAGGCATTTATAATTGCTCCCACCTCTCAAGTGTGGGAATAGACTCATATTTAGAAATTTGCCCAAGTTATCATTGGTAGTATATGTGGGAACTATGATACAGAAATTATCTGTCTTGATGATGCTAAGAGCCAAGAAAAGGTGCTTAAACATCTTTCTTTTTTGGGGGGGGGTCCAGTTGTGGGGCCTGAACTCTGGGCCTGGGCACTGTCCTCAGCTATTCAGCTCAAGGCTAGTGCTCTACCACTTGTGCCACAGCGCCACTTCTGGCTTTTTTTTTTCTCTTTGCTTATGTGGTGCTGAGGGATCAAACCCAGGGCCTCAGACATGCAAGGCAAGTGCTCTACCACTGAGCCACCTTCCCAGCCCTTAAGCATCTTTCAGAGTAAAGATATATTTAATACACCTCAATGTGCCTGGATGAAGTTTCAGGTATCACCTCTAAGTTGAGTTGAACTCAATTAGTTCCTCAAAAGTAGGAGTTTCTGAAAGTCATGGCACAGAGAAAAATGTTTGATTCTTATGATAGACATAGACAAGCATGTGTAGAAAGGCAAGATCTTAATTTGAACATGACAAGAAATAAAGCAGATTACATTAATATGCATTAGAACCCCCTGGAGTAGGATATGGGAACAAAATTCATCTGACATACAGTTAGTTAAAAGTTAAAAACTGAAACAATAAAAGCTATTTTTGATGTTCTAAGGTATGTCGTCTGTTGTCAATAAGCGTAAGATCCGCCAGTTGGGCCAACAGTCTTAGTCTGGTGATTCTGATAGCCCAAAGCAAAGGTGGATATAGAATAGGCAGAATGTAATCACAGAATGAGGCAAGAGGGAAGTATAAGAAGGTAAGTATAGCCAAGGCCGTGCCATAGGCAGATGTTCCAGGTCTCTGCTTCTTTGGACTCAATAAGTTTTTGAACCCTGGCAAGCAAAAGTCTCAGCGGGTATCATCAAGGCAATCCTTAGAAACCAGCCCTTTGATTCCCTTTCAAATGGTGCTTGGGCCTCTCTGTGATAGGAACAATAAGTATTCTAGAGAATTGCTGATGAAACAACTTGGCATGTGTTCACTTGTACCCTGACACTGATGATTCCTGTAGTCCTTAAAGAAGGAAAGTGAAGCTTTGAGAAATTGGAAAACTTACTTAAAGACAAAGATACTATAAGAACCATGATTTACTTGTACAACTTTGCAAAGACTAAGATACTAAATTGTTCACTTGGAAAGGCTGGGTTTCATGGTAAGTGAATTATACCTCAGTTAAGATGCTCTATTTTTAAAACTTATGACTAACTTTCTGAGCAATGTTTTTGACAGAGAAATAGCATTTCTACCTGAAAGCCTAATATTGGCTTCTAAGTCATCTTATCAAACATGATTACTTCTTATATATAGAACACTGCTATACACTATGACAAATTTGCCAAAAATACACTTGAAATAACTATATAGTTTGCTAAACATATGTTACAGGCCACACATTATGTCCATAATGAGGTGTGTATATTATTCCTATTCTTTATGTTGATAATTTGAGACTAAAAGAATTACATAGTTGCCAAAACACACACACACACACACACACACACACACACACACACACACACACACACACACAGCTGGTAAAAGAGGCAGAGCTGAGCTTTAGACTCAAACCTTCCTGACTGCAAAGTCATTAGTTTTATCGATTATGTTAAGCAAATGAGAAAGGAAAGAAAGGCCAGAATGCAAAGCATACCAAATAGTAAATGGTAGAATTTTGAGGGTTGACAGACTACAAAGTAAGTTTCAAAGATCTAAAGGAACATTCTGGAATTGCAGTTCAAGAGTGGTTTTAAATTTTTCTCTGAATGAGCAACTGTGGTCTGAAAGTATTCTTGACATAGCATGCATCTAAAAGAAATTCCATTTCAAAAGATCCATAATGACCACAATACTCCAGGGAAAACAATTTTCTATGTGTCTGTTTTGGCTCCGTAGCTATGAGAAGATACAAATCCACTAAGAAGCTGTGAAAGATATTATTCTAAGTGTTTATAAGATCTAGGCACACTCTGCAGGATAAGGTGAATAACATAGAAATAACCTTCTAGAAATGCCCATGTAGGAGCTGATTGACCCCAGATATGATGTATATGCAATTAAGTGCCAGGCAGTAGCATCAGAGAGCATGGGTTTCTGTCTTACTGCTGCCACTGGACACAGTTTTAAATTTCTTGAGGCTTCTATGAAGGTTACTGTGAAAAATAAATAAGTAAGTACAATAAGTGCATAAAACCAGAAAACAGTAATCATTTATGATGGCTACTATCATTATCACCTGGTGGCAAAGTACACAAGCTCTGGCTCATCATGAATAATACAGATTTCCAATTATTTTTGCTACCTTCAAATATGTTTGATATACTCTGTATATAGCTGCTACTTCCTAGGATCTAGGCCCAATGGATAGCATGTTCCTGGAAGAAATCTCACTCTAAATTTAGCTTGAACAGTTCTAACAACATTTTATATAGTGCCTACTATGCTTTGATAGCCTAGAAAAGAGCCTTCCCAGGACCAGAGAATCTTCTTTTCCTAGCTTACAACACCTCCTTATAGTACACTTTCATATTATTTGTGTTTGAGTGGACTTAACAGTCATAGGGTTACACATCATTTTTTCATAATAGTTAAGTAATAAATATAAACAAGTAAGCTACTATAATGTTTAAGAACAATGGCAAAGGATAAGGTAGATAAAAATCAAATCCTAGGTTCTCCACCTTCTGCTTACGATTTTAGGTTCTTTTATGCTTCCAAATCCTATACTTTCACCTGTAAAGTATGTTACAAAGCATATAGAAATGTTGTAAGGAAATGACATGATATGTGAAATGTTTTCAGCACACTATCTACTATATAATAAACTCCCAATAAATGTCAGTTATCATTGCAAAGGACATAAATTAGGTTAGCTCAGGTTCATTTTCAATGTAATAAGCATTTATTGTGCACCTGCGAAGGTGCACGCTGCTGCTTTCTGTGTTCTAGATAAAGAAAGCAAATCACAAGAGTCCTCTAAAACTAAGTGGATGCTGTTCACATGCATATGACCTTAAAAAGTAAGTGTCCTGCAACAAGTCTTCATACTGGAAGGTGGGGCTGGTACCAGCATTTCTGCAATCATCTCACAGATGAGAATGTAAAGAAGGAGGAAGATAAACATGTAGAGAGGTGGAGTTAGGTTTGATTGGAAATGAATCAGTCCATCCCACTCTGGGTTGTTATAAGCTATATAAGGGCCTCCATCTCAGTCCAGCAACACCCTGCAAGCTGCATCAGGCTTTATCCTACTTGTTCCTTTGGTGAAACGGGTAAGAGACCATTCATCTAGCAACAACTATGGACATAACCGCCCATTATAGAAACGCAAAAGTATGAGATAAGCAGATAGACAGACAGACAGACAGGCAGCTAGACAGACAGACAGACAGATAGAGAAAGATAGGTAGGTAGATAGGTAGATAGATAGATAGATCGATAGATAGATAGACAGATCGAAAGATTGATCGATAGATAGAGCGGACAGAAGCAAGAAGGAGGGAGGGAGAGGAAAGGAAGCCATTGTTTTCTTTTTGTTTTTTCTTTTCTTTTTTTGTTTGCCTTTTGGTTGGTTAGTTTAGTTTATTCTATAATCTTTTAGGTAGAGTAAGTGTGCCTTTATAGAAGATAATGCAAGTCGAAAATTTCTCTTATTTTAAGCCATTCCACATTCTCTTCTTGGTGTTTTGCATGTTATTTTTCTGGTCTATGCAGCTCAAATAAGGAAGAAGCTGGAACTGTTGTAGAATCTCTTCTTTTTTCAGTTCCGAGGGCATCAAGATCTAACTGAGATCTAATCAAATTCTTGCCTACATTGCTGAGCTTCTCTTGCTAATTAATAGAAAGGAACAGTGTTTGATCCAGTGCTGAGATCAGAATAGTTCCTGACTTCTGCTAGGGGCTATGCCAACCTGCAAATATTAGTATGCTGTTGGCACATTTTGCCAATTGTTTATGTGTTAAAGAACTTTAATGTCCAGTTTAATTTATTTTTGCCAGTCTTGGGACTTGAACTCAAGCCTGGGCATTGTCCCTGAGCTTCTTTTGCTCATGGCTAGCACTCTACCACTTAAACCACAGCCCCACTTATGGCTTTTTCTGTTTATGTGGAACTGAGGAATCAAACCCAGGGCACTCTACCACTACGCCACATTCCAAGATCCTCTAAGCCACATTCCCAGTTCCCCGCCCCCACTTTTATTTTTAGCATCAAAAAGTGATGTACATATGATGGGGAAAAGTGTGTTCATTTTGATTCAAGAAAGCAGCAGTAAAAATAGGAAGAAAAATTAGGGAAATGATGTCTCAGTGGTCCTGTAAACTTTAGAAACCCTAGAATATTACCCAACATACCAAATTCCCCCAAAATGTACAGACATCATGTAGAAACAATATTCATCCAGGAAAAGAAACACAGAGACCTGAGAACTAGTCCCATTTGGGCCATTTTCATACTATAAGTTGATCTTAACAAGTAACTCAATGTTAATCAAGTTTTCAGTGTATTGAAAGGCATTGTAAACCCCTTGATTCATCCTTAAATGTTGACGTTTAAAACTGACAAGAAATTTGAAAAATCATGAGAACTATTGAGAAAAGGAAACAAAAGGATTGATGGGGCCATTTTTTTGTCTAGGTTCACTTAAACTTGCAAAAAACATGACAGAACTCTTAAGAAGTGTTGTCACCATCATCGACATTTTCTACAAATACACCAAGCAAGATGAGGAGTGTGGCACACTGAGCAAGGATGAGCTAAAGGAACTTCTGGAGAAAGAGTTTCGCCCAATTCTGAAGGTAAGGGTCATGGGGCAGCACAGGTGTGCTGGGGCTCTGAACATGCTGCCATAGAATCATGATGAGTTAAAAGGTTCACAGTGCCAGTAGTCTTGGAGAAAAACCCTATGAGCAATATTTTTGGCCATCATAAGTTGTCCTAACAAGTCCATATGTCATGTCAGGGTTAGGAAGGTTAGAGGGGAATATCATCCACAATCAAGTAGCTAGGATGATTTAAGACTGAAAATAAAGTACAGGCCTTTTTTCATCTACCTGGGAATTACTTAACTATTTATTTCAAAATAATATAACCTAACACCAAATATCTTACCTTGTTTCTTTAAAATTTATATAAAACAAACATATATGAGTAACTGAAGCTATATAAGTAACTGAGCCTGGTTTATTTCATTCCCTCCTATATGCCATAACTGAGTATTTAATCCTGTAGCTTACATATTTTAAACAACATCTTTGGAGGTTCCCAATAGTCTCTATTTTCTATCACCCGTTCCCATTTGTTGGGTACTATTAACCTGAAATGATACCTCATTGGACTAAAACTCCATGTCAAACACACACAAATCTCTGTATTGGGCTAAGAATGTAGTTAGGCTGACAGGGTCTCTTTGTGTGTCACTCATATACAGAACCCAGATGATCCAGATACAGTGGATGTCATCATGCATATGCTGGATCGAGATCATGACCGAAGACTAGACTTTACTGAGTTTCTTCTGATGGTATTCAAGCTGGCTATGGCCTGCAACAAGGTTCTCAGCAAAGAATATTGCAAAGCTTCAGGGTCAAAGAAGCGTAGGCGTGGTCACCAACATCAAAAAGAAGAAAGTGAAACAGAAGAAGAGTCTCCAGGACCAAAATCAGGTTACAGACATTCAAGTTGGAGTGAGGGAGAAGAGCAGGGATATAGTTCTAGGGGGTCAAGGGGAACTGGGAAACATAGATATGGGTCCAACTCCAGGAGGCTGGGAAGACAAAGTGAATTACCCAGCTCAGAAGGATCTGAGAAAAGTCACTACAGGTCTCAGTCTGGTCACTCCTGGAGTAGTGGCAAAGACAGACATGGTTTCAGGTCTGGAGAGACAGGAGAAAGAAGAAACAAGTCACATAGTCCCTCTAGGGAATCTGGGGAAGAATATGAATCTGGATCTAAATCAAGCAGTCAGGGGCAGAAAGGTCTGTCACAAGGACTAAAAACTAGTGAACACAAATCAAACTCTTCTCAATCAAAAAAAAGTGGAGGTCAAAAGCATGAGTCTAGCTCTACAAGTTCTGGAAACTGTGGGAGACAAAGTCATGCATGTAGTTATGACAATTCAGGTGGGTGTGGAAGGCCACAAAATACTTCTAGTTCTTGTCAGGCAGGTGGATTTAGAGGGCAAGCAAATCAATCTAGCTGTACCCAGTCATGCTGTCAATCAGGAGGCCATCAGAGACAAGGTTATGGATGTGTCTCAGGAGGTCAGTCCTCTGGTTGCTGCCAACCACAGCCTAGTTCCTGTAGCCAGTCCTCTGGTCAGAGAGGCCATGGATCTAGACAATGTGGTCAGCCACAGAGCTGTGGAAGACAACAGGGAAGAAGCTCAAGTCAGTCCTCTTGCTGTGGACAACATGGGTCTGGAGCAAGTCAGTCTTCTAGTTATGGCCCACATAGATCTGGTTCCTGTAGAGACTCTTCAAACTGTCATCAAAAAGGGTCTAGTTCAAATGAATTTTCCAAATGCAGTCAGTATGGATCTGGTTCAGGTTATGAACAACCGAAAACAGGTTCAAGTAAGTCCTCTGGCTTTGGACAGCATGGGTCTGGTTCAGGTCAGTCTTGCTGTGGACAGCATGGATATGCATCAAGCCAATCCTCTGGCTATGGTCAACATGGGTGTAGCTCAGGGCAGTCCTCTGGCTTTGGACAGCATGGGCCTGGTTCAGGTCAGTCTTGCTGTGGACAGCAAGGATATGCATCAAGCCAATCCTCTGGCTATGGTCAACATGGGTGTAGCTCAGGGCAGTCCTCTGGCTTTGGACAGCATGGATCTAGCCCTAGTCAGTCAACTGGATTTGGCCAGCATGGATCTAGCTCTGGTCAGTCCTCTGGCCTTGGCCAGCATGGGTCTAGCTCTGGTCAGTCCTCTGGCCTTGGCCAGCATGGGTCTAGCTCTGGTCAGTCCTCTGGTTTTGGCCAGCATGGGTCTAGCTCTGGTCAGTCCTCTGGTTTTGGCCAGCATGGGTCTAGCTCTGGTCAGTCCTCTGGTTTTGGCCAGCATGGGTCTAGCTCTGGTCAGTCCTCTGGTTTTGGCCAGCATGGGTCTGGCTCAGGACAGTCCTCTGGCCTTGGCTGGCATAGGTCTAGCTCGGGTCAGTCCTCTGGAGTTGGGCAACAAGGATCTAGCACCAGTCAGTCCTCTGGTTTTGGCCAGCATGGATCTAGCTCTGGTCAGTCCTCTGGTCTTGGCCAGCATGGGTCTAGCTCTGGTCAGTCCTCTGGTCTTGGCCAGCATGGGTCTAGCTCTGGTCAGTCCTCTGGCCTTGGTCAGCATGGGTCTAGCTCTGGTCAGTCCTCTGGTCTTGGCCAGCATGGGTCTAGCTCTGGTCAGTCCTCTGGCCTTGGCCAGCATGGGTCTAGCTCTGGTCAGTCCTCTGGCTTTGGCCAGCATGGGTCTAGCTCTGGTCAGTCCTCTGGCCTTGGGCAGCATGGGTCTAGCTCTGGTCAGTCCTCTGGTTTTGGCCAGCATGGGTCTAGCTCTGGTCAGTCCTCTGGCCTTGGCCAGCATGGGTCTAGCTCTAGTCAGTCCTCTGGCCTTGGCCAGCATGGGTCTAGCTCTGGTCAGTCCTTGGCCAGCATGGGTCTAGCTCTGGTCAGTCCTCTGGTTTTGGCCAGCATGGGTCTAGCTCTGGTCAGTCCTCTGGTTTTGGCCAGCATGGGTCTAACTCTGGTCAGTCCTCTGGTTTTGGCCAGCATGGGTCTAACTCTGGTCAGTCCTCTGGCCTTGGCTGGCATGGGTCTAGCTCGGGTCAGTCTGCTGGAGTTGGGCAACAAGGATCTAGCACCAATCAGTCCCCTAGTTTTGGCCAGCATGGGTCTAGCTCTGGTCAGTCCTCTGGCCTTGGCCAGCATGGGTCTAGCTCTAGTCAGTCATCTGGATTTGGGCAGCATGGCTCTGGCTCCGGTCAGTCATCTGGATTTGGGCAGCACGAATCTAGCTCCAGTCATTACTCTGGTTTTGGCCAACATGGATCTACCTCTAGTCACAAATCTGGATTAGGTAATGAGGGGTCTGGATCTGGTAAGTCCTCTGGGATAGGGCACCATGGTTCAGGCTCTGGACAGTATTCTGGATTCGGTGAACAAGGGACTGGATCTAACTATGGTCAGCATGGGGGGTCATCAAAAAAGAAGGCAGGATTCCTGCCACAAAAACAACAGAGAATACCTCATGGACAAGCAAAAGACACAACAAAGGCGCCTGAGACAAGGCATGGACAGGTTCCAGAGTCTCAATCAGGCAGAGCTCCTAGGAGAACACCCCTGCACAGTGAGTCTTCTGACAGTGAAGAGCAATCAAGTTTCTCACACCATCAGGGTGGTTCCCCTCAGGGCCAGGGTCAACCTAAAGGTCAACAGTCCCCATCTGCTGGACAAAAAAGAGAGCAAGCTCCTCATGGCCAGTCGAGAGATGCCGGGGGACAGAGCCAACAGCCGCATGAACGACCCCAACATTCTGGCTCCAGTCCATCCCCTAGAAGGTCACATCCTCACAGCCAATCAAGTGACACAGAGGAACATTCAGAATTCTCACACCATCAGGGAAGATCCCCCCAGGGCCAGGGTCAACCTCAAGGTCAACAGTCCCCATCTGCTAGGCAAGGAAGACAGCAAGGTGCTCATGACCAGTCAAGAGATGCCGGGAGACAGAGCCAGCAGCCTCATAGACAACCCCAACAGTCCGGTTCCAGACCATCTCCTAGAAGGGCACCTCCTCACAGCCAGTCAAGTGATAGAGAAGGACATTCACGATTCTCACACACACAATCAGAATCCACTCAGGACCAAGGAGGATCTCCACAGAGAGGGTCTGGACCCACACAACAACGCAGGCAGGGAGCTCCTCATGGACAGGCCAGAGATACCTCAAGACAGCCCCAATCTGGGCATGGCCAGGCTCCAGAGTCTCATCCCAGAAGAGCCCCCAGGGGAACACCCCTGCACAGTGAGTCTTCTGACAGTGAAGAGCAATCAAGTTCCTCACACCATCAGGGAAGATCTCCTCAAGGCCAGGGTCAACCTCAAGGTCAACAGTCCCCATCTGCTAGGCAAGGAAGACAGCAAGCTCCTCACGGTCAGTCAAGAGATGCCGGGAGACAGGGCCAGCAGCCACATGGTCAACCCCAACAGTCTGGCTCCAGTCCATCTCCTAGGACACCTCTTCACAGCCAGTCAAGTGATAGAGAAGGACAATCACAATTCTCACACACACACTCAGGGTCTACTAAGGGGTTCTCTGGGTCTCAGCGTAGAAACTTAGGAGCCCCTCATACATATCCACCTCATCTTCATCCACAAGCAAGTGATCATTTCAGAAAGCAATCCATTAATATTCATGGCCAATCTGGCTCAAGGCATTTTCATTCTGAGCATCATAGGAGACAAAGGAATTTTTCTGGCCAACACTGGAGACATGGCAGTTATGGTCATTCAGAGTATGACTATGGCCAGTCTGGGTTTGGACCTTCTGGTGGCAGCAGAAATAGTAGCCGTAATCCTAGCCCTTTGAGATCATCAGATAGAGGTGCAAATACACAAAAGTCTGGGCATACCCAATCTTTTTCTTTATCTGACAGTGCAGCTTCAGAATCATCTGAATTAACAGGAAGGTTAGTTCCAACATATGAGCATTCAGAAATATATCATGGTCATTCATTTGATTCCCAGAATCAGCTTGAATCTAGTATAGTTCAAAGGCAAATTTCCAGTCACGTTTTTTCTGTAGTTCCTCCTAGAGAGCTGAATGACACTGAGGAACACAATCTTACCAGAAATCAGCAGTCTACTCATAGCCTGTCAAGTGACTACTTTGAATCTGGTCATAGGCCATCCATAGCACATCATGGACATTCAGAATCTACTTCAACTAGAAAAAAGTGTGGCTTTAGTACTAATGAGAGGCAAGGATATAGCTGTGATCAACAAAGTGATAGTTATGAGATATCACGTGAGAAGAAGAGTCAAGGATCCTCTTCTATTCACTTTCTTTATAATGAAGACCCTATGGAAAATGAAGAGTACAAGAATATGTATTTATCTAGGAGTGCAACTACATTTGGTGAAAAAAGCCAAAGGAAAGAATTAGGATTTAATGCAGCAGGGAGAATGGTTCAGCACGTAGACAAGCAGGCGAGAGGTTCTGAGACCAGAGGTTTCTATGGAAGTGGGTTAATAGAATCAGGTTCCTATTTAGATAGCAACACTCCACTCTATGCATATGTCCAAGAACAGAGACACTATTACTTTGAATAAAAAACTAGGAACAAAAATGACCCTAGATAAAAACTCAAAGATAAAATAAGACATACTATAAGTAAATAAGATATTGAACATGATGCTTCTTTTGGTAGTAGGGGTAATTCTTCTGTTCTTTTATATTAACTGTAGTACTCTGCTCCATTAACTTTGTTTGGTATAAGGTCTTGAGCTTCTTGGGTTGAAAACAGTGCAAAAGCATTTGGGACTATATTTGAAGTACATGCTAAAGTGATTTGGATTTGGGGAACTCAAAATGAGCACTTAAAAATTCTAAGATTGGGGTCTGGGAAGGTGGCTCAGTGGTAGAGCACTTGCCTTGCATGCCTGAGGCCCTGGGTTCGATTCCTCAGCACCACATAAGCAAAAAGAAAAA